ATGTTAGATGGAGTATCTGTCAAGTATATAGCTTGGTCTAGAGAGGTAAACTTTACTTTTTATGAGTCTTATCTTTGAAACTGTGATGCTCAGTATATGACATTATTCTTCCTTTGCATGGTAGAAGGAGCTCCGTGGTATTATAAAAGGTTCTGGTTACCTCTGTAGCTGTCAGTCATGTAACTTTTCCAAGGTACATTTGGTGCCAATTTTCGTTATTGCAGGACTAACTTGCTGTACAATTTACTGATTAAATGTGGTGTAACTTCTATGTGTAGGCAATTAATGCTTATGAGTTTGAGCGCCATGCCNAATTAATGCTTATGAGTTTGAGCGCCATGCTGGTTGTAAGACAAAACACCCTAATAATCATATATACTTTGAAAATGGGAAGACAATCTATGGGATTGTTCAGGAGCTCAGGAACACACCTCAGGATTTATTATTTGAAGTTATTCAGACAATTACTGGATCGTCTATTAACCAAAAATCATTTCGCATCTGGAAAGGTGCCTTAAATCAATGAACTGAGCTGGTTCATATTCTAGAATGTTTATTTTTTTATTAAGTTAGCATTGGTTATACAATTTAATGCCTTTTTCCTGTCTTCAGAATCTTTTCTAGCTGCGACACGTGAACTTCAGCGTATATATGGGAAGGATGAGGTCAGGCAACTGTCATAAAGAGGAATCCATATGCAAGGTATTATGCAAAAGACGTGCCTGCATCTCTGCCTACAATATCATATAAATATGTGCTCTTTAATACTTCGCGACCCTATAAACCATGGTTGATCTAGAGCGGTTTTTTGGTACTCTGGGAAAAATACTGAACGAATTCATGATACTAGTCCTTCACAACGTGCATATGCATAATTTATGATTTTGTTTTCTACATTAAGTTTGCCTGACGATGTATAACTTCCTGAAAATATATTCAGCCAATTGATGATTTAATTGTCAATTGTCATCTTGTGCCCATAGACTGTAATTATCCTGTTAACTCATATAGGAAGATACCAATGTTCATGATGCCACTCGTATGGATATATATTTAGAAGTGAGTAGTAGTTCTCTTATTTATTTTGAAATAGGAATAACGTGCCAACCATTTAGCCTACAAAATCTAGATCTGTTTCTTTTTTACTTGGATGTAGGATGGTGCTAATATGGCTGATCCACTGGCATTCCCCGCCTAACCAATTTAAAGATCTCAAAGTGAATATTCACCAAATTTGTTTATTAAGTCAAATTAATTTATCATGTCCACAGAAGCTTTAAATTTACACGGGCAAAGTTGGGAGTGGTTCCAAGGTGGTGACTGCAAAGGAAACATACTGGTACAAGATTTTGATATAATTTTAAGTGGTGAAGTCATTAGAGATATACAGTATGTTGAAAAGAGATATACAATATGTTGGTGAAAGTGATTAGAGACAAATTCGACTATGTGGTGACCCTTAAGAATGCAAATTTTAAAATACAAATTCGACTATGTGGTGAAAGTGATTAAAGACATTGATAATGGATGAGATAGTTCTTATGATTTTAGTTTCTTAATTGAAAAATGGACAAATTTGCCACTATTCAGTGAACCGTGATCTCTGCCTATGTTTTGGATTCATGTTTTTCCATATGCCTCAACATTTCTTTTCCCTTCACCCTAACCATATTTTAAAAGCAAGAAAAATAAGAAAATAATACTTGTCTTAGAAAAGAAAAAAATTCTAATCTAGGTGTTTGAAAAATCTCTTTCTATGGTGCAGGAAGGCTCCTGTAATCTGATTGTGTCTCACTATTGGATCTCTTATATGGAAGGATGTTCCTCTTTCTACCTTTTCATCAAAATAAAAAAACGCTATCCAGAGAGAGAAACAAAGAAAATAAAATTTTGAATGTGCTCTTACTGCTAGAGACATGTTTAAAATTACAACTATTTTAGAAATGTTTAAAATAATTTTTAAAACTGCCCTTATAAGAAAATAATACTCGTTCCTTCCCAATTTATGTGGCAGTGTCTGACTAGCAGAGTTTTAAAAAAAAGATTTTTGAAACTTCTGGTCTAAAACAAGCCATAAACATTTGTGTAGCTATAATTTACAAATGAAAAGTTTAAAGATAAATTATTTCTAAATATTGAATTGGCATTCCTTTTGGAACAAACTAAAAAAGAAAGTGTACCACATAAAACGGGACAGAGGGAGTACTCAATTGTTAAAACTGTAGTACGCTTCTGAATGGATGTCATGTTTAGGCTAAGACAATGTAAAACCGTCAATTATTGTAATAAGATCTCTTAGAGATGGCAATACTTTTTGAACTTGGCTGAAAGAATCAAATAAGCTAGGGCCAACTAAAAAAGATAAGCTGGTGATGAGATTAGGATAAGTATAAATGTGGAACATAAGAATTTAGATGAGTGCCTCTACACATTGAAGACAAAGATCAAACACCTTTTCACTTCACAGATACAAATGATACTCACTCGTCCCATTTATTTGACATGGTCTCCTTGACGTGGATTTTAAAATGTTAGTTTGATGTGTATATCAAACTTATTGGAAGTAACTAAAGAAAATATTAAAGTAGTTGAAAAGTTTTCAAATGAAGCGAAATGAGTATTGAGGATCATATAGTTGATCCCAACTAGTTTGGATTGAAGCAAAGTAGTTGTTTTGGTACAAGTCGAAAAGTTAGTTTATAGGAAGAAATGTGACATTAAAGATTAGAGTACATTAGCTCATTAATTTGAATCTTTATTTGGTGAACATCGGTATGGAAGAATGTTTTAGTTCTTATTAGAAACGTGTCAATCTTTTGAGACGTCCAAACATGGAAGTTTGTCACATACATTTATGAGCAATAGATACCTCATTTTTATATTGATAAAACCGAGACTTTAGTACTTGAAAATTTTGTGGCTCAAAGTGCTTAATGGTGTAAGTTTCAATCTTCAAATTGCAGTATTTGTTTCAAGCAAGCGTCAATAGTATGCCTTTGAGTATGCTTGATATGGTTTTGATTTTTAAATAATTCATCATCCCGGCATGCTCTTCATTCCCGTAACAAATTGTGATGTCTGGAAGGGATGAGATAGTTTTGTCCCGTTAAACATGTGAGATAATTAGTTTTAGGTTCATGACTCGCTTTTTGATATCGTTGGAAGGCCGAAGACTGGTCAAAAATTGGTGAGGACCCTAAATTGAGCATGTTTCAGACTCCATTGTCCCACATCTCTGGTTCAGTAATATGGGTTGCCCTACATTCATATTCACCCCCCGACCCGACCCGGGTTTCAATTACACAGTCACCATTTAGTTTGTAACAAGCCCTGCTTATCAAGAAGAGGTCTGTAACTAGCCCTTGCACAGATGGTTAACATAGAAGACATATGGAAGAATATGCACAAGGTTTCTCATACTATAGTAATCAAGCAACAACAACAACAACAACCCAGTATAATCCCACTAGTGGGGTCTGGGGAGGGTAATGTGTACGCAGACCTTACCCCTACCCTGGGGTAGAGAGGCTGTTTCCGATAGACCATCGGCTCCTTCCCTCCAAGAACTCCCCACCTTGCTCTTGGGGGGACTCAAACTCACAACCTCTTGGTTGGAAGTGGAGGGTGCTTACCATTAGAGCAACCCACTCTTGTCACTATAGTAATCAAGCAATGTTGCTATTAGTTTTATGCTTCTGATTTTGATGCACTATATATCCCTCTAAAGGCCTTTAGTGCCCTTCGTTTAGTTCCATTGTTTTTCTCTCTTTTGGGGGGAAGACATCTATGGCCATCAATGGTAGGTGTGTGATTGGTTATTGAGTAGTATTTGAAATGTAGCGTAATGTCAATTTGTCCAAATTGGCCTTACCCATACAATGGAATAACTGCTAAGACTGGCTGGTCCAAGTCTTTTAGACACTGATCTTTACCAGAGGAAATATTTAAAGATAGAACTTCGGTATTTTAGATCTTAAGTTCAGGATCCACCTTATTTTCATATCTGGGCATGATTATTGCTGTTAATATCTGTTTAACAAACCATAAGAAAAAGCCTGTTGGCTTAACATAGTTTGGTCATTCTATAGTTCTGACAGAAGTTTGCAAAAAATGGTTGTTTAACTGGCCCAAATTTTGGGCACATGACTTGAGATTCTTTTTCCTTGCCTTATGCCAGAAAGAAACTCCTTTTCATACATAAACCATCTTTAACTAATAACTATTAATTCTTAGATGAAGCTGAAGAAGAGCTCATTTCTTAGATAAAGAGGTTACTCTGTAGCCCGATTTCCTTTTGGAATTTGGAAGATATAGCCCCGAAGAGAAAATCATTATATTCTTTCATCTTTGGTAACAGTTGTTCCTCTTGATGGACTGATGTGGATAATTGTCTGACTTAAATTTTCCTTGTCAATTTTGTTTTCATGTGTTGTTTCCTGTGTTGGTATTGCTTGTTCATCGGTTGATGGAGATTTTTGATCCTTGCTTTTACCCCACAGGACAATGTAAAGGCCTAAAACGATTACAACAGCACCAAGTACCCTGTAGAAAGTATTACATTAGTTTTGTGTTGGTCGTAACTTATAAGAGCTTTAGGTATTATAAGAAATTAAGAATTACCTTCCCAGGTTCATTTGTTCACGTAGAATGAATGAACTCAGTATAGCTACAATAACCATGCTTAATGGATTGAAAGCTGTGACAAAAACAGGGCCCCTATCTTTCATTATGACTCCTTGGATGTAATACGCGAGTCCTGAACAGAATATTCCCTGTATTGTGACATGGAAAGTGAGAAGCTTTTGGCAGGCTTAACTTCATGAGTGATTGGAAAAGCTATGCGTCTACATTTGTTTTCTCATTTCTCTCATGTTGCAGAAGTAAAGTTTCATGCTACAGTAGTTAGAAACATATTGTTTTTTTTTATAAGATGAAGATTTTATTAAAAACAGTATCAAGCTGATACTGTAAAAATACAGAGATACTGCTGGCAGAAACATGATGTGCATAAGCTGTAGAACGTCTAGTTAACAAGTTCTGTCACATAGAGTAGTACAGAACGGGGCAATATGGTGCATACAATGGATAAACAATATGGTACAGAATTGGACAATATGGTACATAGGATGGATAAACATTTAAAGAATGGATACTTTTAATTTTTCTTGTATGCTTGTGTTCTAAGAAAATTTAATCTACTCTTGCTCATAAGTTTGACTTACACTGTATACAGCTGCAAGAAACTTAGTGTCCCATTTTATGGCCCACACTGCAGCTTTTCCTCTCTCCATTACCATCGCTACTATAGCTCCCTCAGCTGTTCCCAACAAGCATATCCAAGCAGTGAGTGAGAGCTCTGCAGGGTAGGTCCGCAGTGTGATTGCCTATGCATATCGTACTAGAGTCAGATATGTCTGCTTATTTCCTAATAACTTATCTCTAACTAAGTTCTATCGTTACCTGCAAAATCATAAATGCTGCCCAACTGAAGCACCCAATTGTTATCAAGAGGGAACCTTTGATAGCATGGCTTAGATTTAACCCACCACTTTGAGATTCATGACTGGAATTTCCTTTTGTCCAAAATAGTTCAATGACTGGACCTCGTACCAGCGTCATGATCATGGCTCCTGCAACTGTGGCGATAGTCCCAATTATTTTGGCTTGGCTGCGAATGCTTGTAAGCTTCACCCTCTCAAGCCTAGGATAAAGAAATTATGTGCAAACACAGTTAACATCGTCATTTGGTTGTTTTGGAGAATCCATGTTGGGTTTTCCTTGTTAGTTTATCTTTGCTGGTGTTCATATGTGTGATTATGAGCCTGTTTGGATGGGCACTTTTTAATTTGTGGAAATGTTTGGCAACCAAAAAAAAGAGCTTAAAAAAGTTAAAATCTGCTTAAAAAAAGCCAAAACCAATAAGTTGGAAAACCCAACTTTTTCAAAATTGGCTTAAAAGCCATATTGCTTTGACCAAGTATATTACATTTTTATCCCTTATAATTTTTCTTAATCCCGAAATTACCCCTCAGTAGAAAACCCTACAACATACTATCTTTTTCTTTTCTCCATTCTTGTTACAGCAGCCTCTGCTTTCTTCTTCGTCTTCTTCCGTAACTTTCCTCTCTTTTCCTTTCATTTCTTTCTTTACACTTTCATTCATTATTTTCCCCTCCTTTTCTTTTCCTTTCATTTCTTTCTTTACGCACCCCTCATATTTTTCAGTAAAACACTTTTACATATTCGAATAACTTTTATCAATCTAAGTGGGTAAAAAATTAAAGGGCAGATGAATTAGTTGCGATCTGTTTTTAAATTTTTTATTTTTGGGTGGTCGGTTTATTAGTTTAAAGAAAAGGTCGATTTATTGGAATGAGAAAGAGGAAAGTTTTTACAAATAATTGGCTCAATAGCTCATCTTTCTTCCCATTTACCAACCCAGAAAAAAATAGCAAACACACAAGACAAAAATGTAACAATCATCCGTTTGAGCACTTCTTTACCAAACACTTCATCAGCTTTTTTTCAGTTTCAGCACTTTTATCCAATCACGTAACTGCTTATTTATAAAACAAGTTCCAGCATTTATTAAATGCTTTTAAGCACTTAACTTAAAAGCCACTTATTTTAAGCCAATCCAAACGGGTTCTATATCTATAGAATGAAAAAAGCATATAATTTACCTGAATATCCATGCCATTATAAAAGTAATGGCGGGAAGTATGTTGCACATTGCAGCTGCAAAAGTTGCTGTTGTGTATTTCAGGCCAATAGAGTAGAGATTCTGGTCTATGACTGGCCTATTGGTCAAGAGAAACATGTTTATGTTAGATACTTAGTCCATGGGAAAAAATAAATTTGAGTGTTGGAGACTTACTCCAGTATGCTAAGAAGTACCAACTTAGTAAATATTGAGAGAGTCATCTTTGGTCTTATTTTCCTGTTAAGAAACATTTAGCTTGTCATTTATTCTCGCTTGAATTATGGAAATAAGAAGAAGACACTTTTTTTGTATGTCTTTGTCCTACTGGTAACTAGACTAGAATTGAGGTTGCAAACACGTCATTGAACATTGGGAGGGAGGAAGAGAGAGAGAGACATACTTGTCTAGAATCATTGCAAAAGGAGCAATAGCCAGAGTGGCTACTGCATGGCGGTACACAACAAATACATAGTTGCTCATCCCTTCATTCAATGCCATTTTGGTGAGGATATCCATGCCTGCTAGCCCAAATTGGAGAAAAATGACAGCGATAAAGGGTTTTGATCTAATGAATAATTCACGTACTGCCTTCATTGTTTACTTGCACAAACTCAACCTCTTTGAGAGCACTACTATTGTAAGGTCACAAGTGTGCACAAGTAACTGCTGCTTTTCTGTATATATAGACAAATCCTTTCACACAATTTTCGTTCTCTACCCATTTTCTGATCAGCAGATGGGGACAAAATCTGTTGGATTTCATCTGTGTGCAGAATTTGTTAATTAATTACTCATAAAGCCTTCCACTTTTTAGATGAAATGGCCTAGTCACCTGGACCTACTCATCACTTGCTTCTAGGAAAAGTAAACCAGGACTGAGTCCCCTTTTATTTGTTGCTACTTTCTGTTAGTTGTCTGCTTTTGATGAGCTCAAATGTTCTTGAATTGGTTTAATATAATCTGATATATCTTAATATTTTGGAATATTCAAAAAATGTATCGTTATTCTTTGAGATAATACTTGTTCCCCATCAATGCTCATATTCATGGATACTAATTCCTTGCAAAAACATCTATGTTTATGCATATGACAGATTGACAACCAAAGTGAACACTTGGCCGGTTCAAAGAGACTGTATTTCTCCTTTTGCTATTCGCCTCTTATAGTTGATGACTCTGTTATCGCCGTGATCCTTGGTAATAATTCTTGTCAGAGAAATTATGGCTGTATATTATATCTTTCGTTTGGTTGTACATTTTGTTAACAGATGTATGTAAATTAGAAGTACATAAGTTTTTGCGCGCTGGTTAATTCAATGAGAATCTATGTTTTAGAAATTTCCCTGAGTGATGTATGTAGGTATCGTAGTTTTGTGCCTGACCATCGGATATGCAGTGGAGTATCCTACATTTCTTTTTTACATTTTTCTGTTATTCTGTTCTTTAGGTGCTCTCCCATTGGTAGTGCACCAAACTTGTCAAAAATTCCTCTATCTTGTGGATTTTAAGCATTTTAAAGTTTGATAGCTAGCTCAGGGCAAAAACTTTGTAGTGCTTAGTTTAGGCACACGAATATTATGAGGTACGTCATCCTTGTGTAGTTAAAGCTACAATTGTTCCATTAAATGTTCACATGTCATTAGTCTTCTAGATTAGTAATGTGATTGATCATACCGTTTTGATTTCATATAAAAAAATATCAACACAATTGTGTACTTGAAGTTGCAATTGATTCCATCAAAATATTCACTAGCCATTAGTCTTTCCAAAATAGTAATGCGATTGATCCTGATTCTTGACGGTGTTGATTTTATTTAAAAATATATTAACATATTGTGTACTTGAAGTTACAAATGGTTCCATTAGATGTTCACAGACCATTAGTCTTTTTAAATTAGTGATGTGATTGATCAGACCATATTGATTTCGTAAAGCATAGTGTACATAAAGTTAGAACTGATTCCATTAAATGTTCACATGTTATTAGTCTTTTTAAATTAGCAATGTGGTTAAATCTTGATCGTATTGATGTTGTACAAAAATATCCACATATTGTGTACTTAAAGCTACCAGTGGTTCAATTGAATTTTCACAGGTCATTAGTCTTTTTAATTTAGTATTCTGCTTGATCTAACCAATGATTTTACATCATAAATAAATATCAATATGGTATGATTAACCACATTGCCAACATCTTTTGCATTAAAAAATCTTATGCATCAAAAAGTAAAAAAAGGCTAAGTGTTTACGTGCCAAATTGCCAACCTTTTCCATATTGCATGTTACATGTTGTGTTGGTAACGTCTCCTTTTGGTTTGTTGGGGGTGGGGGGAGAATTGTGGAATTAGGAATATAGAATTGTAAAATTATATTTATGTATAGAATGTAGGGGTACCTAGGAGAATCTTCTTTATGAAAAGAATATGTACCAAAGTGCTCTCTTACGTCCCACTTGAAAAATGTGAGTTCCTAACATCGACTAAGATATGTTCATTAAAATTAACCACTTAAATCTGTTTTTGACATTATTGTGAACTTTATATTGATTGACATGGATTGGAGCACAAGAATTTGGGCTATGAGCTAATCGTTGAAAGTTTATATATATATATACTACTGTTATGCTGAAAAGATGGTCAAACTTGAAAGAAAGTAGAGGCTTCTTTTGATGATTCTCCAATCTCCACATACACAAAGATAGAATTATTGTAAAACTATGTGGTAGCTTTGGGACTTTGAGTTATACAATACAAAGCAATTGTTTATTAAAGGGCAAAAGAAAGACGTGGTTTTCAGGATAAAAGCTTAGGTCTTGAGGTAAAGTAGAAAGAAGAGAAAAAAAGGAAAAGGAAACGAGGGAGTGGAAGTAGCGTCTGACTGCAATTGTTGCCAATATGGTCGTGGTGTTTTCCACAAAGGGAAGAAGATATGAAGTAAAAGATAGGGCTACAATTATTGCCTTAGCACCAACTAACATTTTACAATATTTTATTGTCTACGACGTCATTCTTTAGTATGCCACTAACTCGACCAATACATTAATTCATAAGCGAATTTAAAATTTGAAGTAAATGGATTTTTTTTTTGCAATCTCAAATTAATGTACAATAATAACTGAATTTATAGTCTAATAATTTGGTAAAAGTTACTGAATTTTTGTGAACGGTGCGTAATATTTTAGATCCACAACAGTTGGTATATTTTAGTATAACAATGGTATAAGTCAGTTTTTTTATCTTTTACTAGCATAAATTATGGAGATAATTCTATTTGAACATTGGTTGTTCATAGTTTTCACCAGCTCATTGGCCTATATCGTTAGGTTAGATCCCGGGGTGTAACTTCTTGGTTTTCATGCATATTCATTGTTCTAGAATATATCATCCATTTTCTACATGTTTTCTGCGCTTAATATAATGATGTTGTTGATTAAAACAATTAATATGAAATGTTCGTTTGTAATGGTTTATACATTTTATATGAGAAGCTTCATATAATTTAATTGGTAAGTAGGAAAAACTTTTGAATCCAACTTTCATGAACAAAATATTTTCAGACATTTGGTTTATTAAAAGAAAAAATCAGTCCGACACGTGCTGAGGTGTGTTTCTGACTTAGAATAAATAAACGAAAAATATATTCTCTTAACAGATGACGTACATACAATTTAATCAAATTTGAAGCTATTTCGTTGAAATAATCAGATCTAAGAATATTTCACACTGGGTCTGGCATTTTTTTATTCTCTGCGGCATCATTATTTGAAGTTTATAAATTCTAAATTTATTGTGAATTAATAGCTCGTTGTTTTTAGTGGGCTCGTAATTAAATATTTTTATTTATTTAATTAATTTCTAATCCAAATATAAAGTATAAGCAAAAGTTATTTCATTCGAATCCATTCTTCATAGTTCATACTTTACCTCAATCCATGTTTCTTACTGCAAGTAGAAATCCATTTCTATTTCATGTGACCGAATTTTGCAGCATGTAAGTTCATAGATATAGAAAAAACCAAATTTATCCCCCTACTACGGAAATCACTTAATTTTATTCATCGTTTTATTTAATATGTATAAATAATTTACCTCGAACTCATTATATGTCTTAGCATTTAAAACTCATAAATTTAAAATTTTGACTTGCTTTTGTATTTTAGTACTGCAAGTAAAAGTCCTTTTATACTTTTTCTATTGCATGGGAGCAAATTTGCAGCACGTGAAGTTAGGAGATTGGCACTGTTTTTGTCCCCTCATGCAAAACACTATTTTTAAAAAGGAATAATGTTCAAATTCGTCCTTATATTATGAAAATTGCTTTATTTTATNTATATATATATGGTCTTTGTTAATTTATATTCGAAGTTAATGGATCCTCCATCATTTTGCATTTAAACCAAGCAAGAAATAATTAAATACACTTTTTTTCTGCTGCATAAGAAAGTAAAACCGCTTTGAGTGCACCAAGTTCTTAATTCCTAAGCCAGATTTAGTATTGGTACTTATTACACTACTAAATTGAGATTCATTTCTTCTTCTGATATATCCTAGTTCTTTTTTAAGAAAATAAAAGATGGTAGGAAAAGAAAGTGTTTCCAATTTTTACTCTTTTTGGATTTGGACATAGTGACTAAGGCAAGTTATCTTATGTGTCAGAATTACCTACTGAAATATAGCTATATTGGAGGGAGCCCGGAATCAAAATGGGTTCTTTCGGACTCAAAGAACCAAAATGTGTGGAAAAACAAATCTAGAAACCAAAAAATATATATAACGCCCAAGCTTAAGGCGCTATACCTTAACGGCCGTTTGCCTAGTTAAGTATAGCGCCCTAATATAAGACGCTATATTTGAACGTAAAATGAACGGGAAGGTATAACTCCTTATATTAAGATGCTATAGTATAGCGTCTTAATATAATGCGCTATACCTACATAAAAACGCGTCCAATCTCCTTCCCCACCAACCCAGAAACGTCCCCCCCCCCCCCCCCAAAATACACCAAACAACGGTCCTCCCAATTTTTAACCCAAAAAACTCGAGTGGAGCCCACCGGTCCCACAAAAAGTATCGATTCTCGGTCCCACATCGTATTTAAGGCGTTATCTCGTAGTGAGTTGCTTGTTTCGGCTCCAAATCACCAAATCTTCAACTTTCCAAAATCTTTAAATCGAGGTATTCCGACTTAGTTTTTGTTAAAACTCATGTATAAAAAATGCCTATTAGTTGTTTTTAATGTGCTCTATGTTATTTCGTGATTATTTTGCGATTTAATTAAATTATTATTTTTTATCCGGACTATATTATTAGTGTGCTAAAACAATTAGTAAAATAGAGAAATTGTTATTAGTAGTTAAAAAATATTAATTAGTTACTTTTTACTGTGGTATATATTTTTTCGTGATTATTTTTTGATTAAATTAATTTATTATTTTTATCCGGTTTAGATTATTTATTTGCTAAAAGACTAGTAAAATAGATAAATTATTACTTTAGTTCCCTGTAGTGGTATCTTATGCCCTAATGTAGTGCTCGTATTTGTAATGTAGTGCCCTTTTAACGTAGTAAAATATAGTGCCCTTTAGCGTAGTATCTTTGTAGTTATTGAAATTAATCATTTAAGTATCTGTTAAACCCAAAAATATCTCAAAAAAACTGATAGTTCAAACACAAACTCTCTCTAATTCTAGTCAACAAACGTAAGAAACTAACATGAGAAAACAACAATATTTGTCAAACTAAGTATTGTTATATGAATATTTAATAATTAAATCATGTATAGTTATGAAAATTAATTATTTAATTTTATTATAGTAAAAAATAGGTGAGTAACAAACAAACATATAAAATAATAAAACTAACATATAAAATAATAAACTAACATATACAATAATAAACTAACATATAAAATAACAGACCTGTTGAGTGATAAATCGGAAAAATTTTCTCATCATGAACACAAGAACATTGGATACCTTGGTACTACTGGGCCTCAAATATCGAGCCCGAACCAAAATGTAGTTCATTTGGACTCAAACTAAGTATTGTTATATGAATATTTAATAATTAAATCTTGTATAGTTATGAAAATTAATTATTTAATTTTATTATAGTCAAAAATAGGCGAGTAACAAACAAACATATAAAATAATAAAACTAACATATAAAATAATAAACTAACATATAAAATAAGAAACAAACATATTAAATAATAAACAAACATATAAAATAGTAAATTACATATAAAATATTAAAGTAACATATAAAATATAAAATTGTAATATAAAAAATGTATCAACCTAATTAACAATATAGTAAAAATATCGAATAAATTTTAATATTAAAGGTATTGCAATATATTTAAAGATGTTAAGTAATGAAAAAGAAAAATACTTTAATTAATATTGTTCAATTTACAGTAG